GTGACGCTCACATGGACGGTCTAATTATTTTAACTTGTAAACATTTAACGAACATTAGAACACATAATATACGTATATTAATTGTTTGTTATTCTTTCGATAAGAAAAATATATCTGAGGGCGACGCCGCGCGCACGTGTCGCTACAGTACCCCCCTGCTAGTGATTTGCCTAATCACGAGAAACCGCCCTGAAGTCGGTCCGGGAATCGCACTCGTCTGCCCGATCGTGTGGTTTGCCGTAAAGCGGTCTTGATCGGCTCCTGGGCGGTTGGTGGGTCGGTCCTCCTTGCTGAATTTTCAGGGTTATCCAGCTCCGATGGCACGGGCGGTTGCAATGATGTGCCGGAACTTGGGGGGTTCTCCAACCGCTGCTCGATTGGTGGCGAGCTAGCCTTCTCTGGTTCCTCGTCTTCTGAAATGATGTAGGCGGGCTTCAGCCGATCGATAGACACGGTCACATCCCTACCTCGGATGTGAACCACGAATGTTTTCGGTTTGCGGCTGACCACTCTGTAGGGTCCGTCGTACGGTTGCTGCAGGGTTCCTCCAGGTGCGTTGTGGCGCACGAATACTTGGCCCACCGTACTGAGATCTTTGAACACAAAGGTCTGCCGTTCGCCGTGGCGGGTGCCGTTTGTCGGGCGGAGTCTTCGAAAGTGCTGCCGTAATTCTTTGACGTATTCGGCCGCATCGCCTTCTGGGAGTGCTCTTGAAGCCAAGAACTCTCCGGGCAACCGAATTGACTCGCCGTAGAGAAGGTCGGCTGCGGTCGCTCCCAAATCCTCTCGCCACGCAGCCCGGATGCCGAGCAGCACGGTGGGAAGGACCTTTGTCCATTGGTCCTTCTCGTGGCACTTGATGGCTGCCTTGAGTTGTCGGTGTAGTCGCTCTATCATCCCATTGGCCGCCGGGTGGTACGCTGTTGTCTTGAGGTGCGCTACTCCGTATAGCGCGCTAAGCTGCCTGAATAGTTGCGATTCGAATTGTCTCCCCTGATCGGTGGTAACGCGGAGGGGGGTGCCGAATCGAGCTATCCAGCCCTCGTAGAAGGCCCGAGCGACGGTGACGGCCTCCTGGTCCACGAGCGGTATCACCTCTGGCCATCGAGAGAATCGGTCGACGCAAGTCAGGCAGTACCTGTAGCCTTCCGAGCTGGGCATGGTGATGAGGTCGAGATGGACGTGCTCGAACCTCGATGACGGCGGTGCGAAGGTACCGCACGGCGCCGAAACATGGCGAGTTATCTTGGATCGCTGGCACTCTATGCAGCTTCTTGCCCATCTTCGACAGTCGGATTTGATTGACGGCCAAACGAATCGTTGTGTAACCAGCTTGACGGTCGCCTTGATCCCCGGGTGCGCGAGCTGATGTACCGATTCGAATGCCGCCCGGCGGAACTGCTTGGTGACGAACGGTCTTGCTGTTGTTGAAGACACGTCGCAATACACGCTCACCGGTGTCCCCGGTAATTGCACCCTTTTTATCTGCAGTGCCGAGCTCCCATTACGGTAGATTTTTAACTCGTCGTCGGTCTCCTGTGATGTTGCCAGAGCTTCGTAGTCCAAGGCTGCGATTTCTTCAACGCGTCGAGAGAGGGCGTCGGCGACGATGTTGTCCCTACCGGATACGTGCCTGATATCGGTCGAGAATTGACCGATAAAATCGAGGTGACCGGGGCGAGCCCTTATCGGCTTTCTGTCGAAAAGCAAAGGTGATCGGCTTGTGGTCCGTATAAATCGTGAAGGTCCTAGCTTCTACCATGTGCCTGAAATGTTTGACGGCGAGATAGATGGCGAGAAGTTCCCGGTCGTATGCGCCGTATTTCTTTTCGGCACCACTTAGCTTCTTGGAGAAGAAGGCTAATGGTTCCCAGCTATCGCCGATTCGTTGTTGAAGGACCGCCCCCACTGTGAAATCCGAGGCGTCGGAGACTATTGCGAGCGGCGCGTCCGGTTCAGGGTGAGCCAGTAAAGCCGTTTGCGCAATGCTCTCCTTGCATTCATCGAAGGCGGCCTGTGTCGATGTAGTCCAGGTGATGGGGGTCTTGCCCTTGATATTCCCCTGGAGTAGGTCATTCAATGGTGCTTGAAGGTAAGCCGCTCTGGGTATGAACCTCCTATAAAAGTTCAACATACCCAGGAACTGTCGCAGCTGTTTCGCCGTTGTCGGCTGCGGGTAACTTCGGATGGCTTCGACCTTCTCGGGCAAGGGCTGAGTCCCCTCGGCGGAAACTCGATAGCCAAGGAATTTAACCTCTGCCTGCCCGAACGCGCACTTGGTCTGGTTGATAACCACCCCGAATTTCCTTAACCGTTCGTACACGATCTCCAGGTGCTGCAGGTGCTCGCGTTCGGAAGTCGATGCGACGAGTATGTCGTCTATGTACGCGTAACAGAAATCCAGACCTCGGAGGATTTCGTCGATGAACCGCTGGAAGGTTTGCGCGGCGTTGCGCAGGCCAAACGACATGAACGGAAATTCGAATAATCCGAACGGTGTCGTTATAGCCGTTTTTTTATGTCCTCCGGTGCGACGGGGATCTGGTTGTACGCCCGAACTAGATCTATGGTTGAAAAGATACTTTTACCTCGTAAGGACTGCGCGAAATCCTCTGTGTCGGACGGGGTATCGGTCTGGCAAGGTCCTTGCGTTGAGGGCGCGGTAATCTCCGCATGGACGCCATTCGTCGCTGGCTTTCTTCGGGACCATGTGCAGTGGTGATGCCCAGCAGCTTTCCGATGGTCGTGCTGTCCCAAACTGGATTATGGTCTCGAATTCCTTCCTGGCCGCGCGCAGTTTCTCCGTCGGCAAACGTCTTGGCTTATTTGCCACGGGAGGACCTGGTGTTGTTCGGATGTGGTGTTGGGTCGAATGTTTCGGCTCGGCAGGAGCGCCGGCCGGGCGCGTGATTTCAGAAAACTTCCGTAACTGCTCGTGATAGATCGACGTTCCAGCAATGGTTTTAACGCCGGGGATATTACCCTTTTCGACGTGACCTTTGGCAGTCAACGAAGTCAGCTGATCCACTAGGCGGCGACCACGAACGTCGACGAGCAATCCATAGAACGGGAAATCCGCTCCGATGATTGGTTTAGGCACGTCGGCGACGACGAACCTCCACGTGAAGGCCTGGCGTAACCCGAGGTTGAGCGTAATTGTGATCGTCCCATAAGTCGCAATGACGCTGTTGTTTGCCGCCGTGAGCTCGTACGTTGACTTCTCTCGCGGCCCGCGTAGAAATGTTCGTGGGTAAACGCAGAGATCGGCGCCGGTATCAATTAAAAATCCCTTCTTGGAGTTTCTGTCCGTGACGAACAAGCGGAGGGACGTAGGGCTCGGGTCGCTTGCCTCCATTAGCGACCGCCCTGATCGTTTCCCGAACGGAAGTTGCACGGCGGTTCGCATCTTGTCGCGTCAGCACCAAACCGCCAGTGGTACCAGCAGACGCCGTCCTTGCCGCGACCGCGGCTGCGCGCGCGCTGCCTGGACGGTGAACGACGCTCCCGCGATCGGCTACCGCGAGCCGACACGCGGTCTTCTATCGCCGCGATCTCTTGACGAAGTCCATTCGCCAACTCCTCCTCCATTTTGGCGGTGATATGGATGATCAATCGCTCGAGCATCGTCTCGAACGAGTCCGTTGATACGGCCGCGACCTGGTGCCTTTCAGGCAAGGCGTCGCTGACGGCGTCGGCGAGCTCGGCCATCTTATCCAAACCGGCTTCCGTCTGGGTTACCAGGATGACCCGTATGGACGCTGGAATTCGCTCTAGCCAGATGGTTTTGAGCAACTCGTCCGGGACGGCGGTGCCCGCCAGCCCACGCAGGTGGCGAAGGAACTGAGACGGCTTTCGGTCTCCCATCTCCTCTTGTTCGAGTAACTGCCGTCTTTTTCTCCTGTGAGGTCCCGAGCCGGCGTATGAGCTCCGTTTTAAGTAACTGGTACTTTCCGGTCTCGGGTGGATCGACCAATATATCGCGGACGTCCTCGGCGTATCGGGCATCGAGGTTGCCCGTGACGTAATGGAATTTTATATCGTCGTTTGTGATTCCCGAGAACGCAAATTGACTCTCCACCTGGCAGAACCACAGTTCGGAATTGCGAGCCCAGAACGGCGGAATCTTGGTCGCCACTCGGTCGATCGATGCGGCAGAGCTTTCTTTATCCATAATAGCAGGGGCTATGGTTGGGTCTCAACGTCAGTTTTTATAATTTTTCGGTGTACTTACACAATTACCCACACTGCACCTTACGGAAACCGCGATATACGCATGCGTGTTCAAATCACATCGGGGTCACCAATTATGTGGGTAAGGAGATAGTTCGGTATTAACTGTGACTCGGTTGGCGCGGACACTTGTACTTTATTTGTTAGGCAGAAGGCGAAAGCGTAGTGCATTCGAGTCGACGAGTAAAATATGACTGACTCTTCTCGAGATTCTTGCGAGGTTGCTCGCACATCCCGCGCGAGCCTCCTTTGTTTCGAAAAGGCTCCAGGCGTACACGATTTGAGGAATAAAAAGATAAACCGAGTTACGGTGACAAAAGACGGAGGAAAAAATATAGAGAAAGCCAAACAGAAACTCTACACTGAGGACGACGCCGCGCGCACGTGTCGCTACATATGTATATTAAATTTGTCGGGGGGGGGAGGCTTTTTGATTGTAGATGAATCAGATTAGAGCTAGCTAGAGTGATTACCACAAAACACTTCTAACAAAAACTGTTCCTCGGAGATTACTCACATCCTCTTTATTTATCGATATTTTACTATTAAAAAAATTGCTGAATTATCCTTAAAATACATATATTTGAATGTTTATTTCAAAAAGTCCTTAAGTTAAAATTCACATAATACGTTTTTTCCAACTTTGAATGTTCTTCTTAATCTTCAATATTCACAAAGGATTAGCGTAACCCCACCCGATTTTCATAGTTCAGACATTCGAACACGCTTTGAGCAGTGGCACTGAAACTGGAGAGAAAAAAACTTAAGTTTCACCTCTACAATTCCCTTGCTCGACGAACTTCTAATGCGCCATTATCATAGCTACGTAATTGTACGGTATAAAGTGCGTGATGGGGTTACCCTAACCTCTTGTACAACGTCAGAAAATCCGGACTAACTGCAAAGTTGAAATGATTAATTGGATTTATTTATGATTTTAATCATGAGTGCACATTATAAAAAAATTTATTTAAATCAATTTTAAATTAAATAACAAAATAAAGGACTCTTTCTAAACATAATAAACAAAAATAAGTATCGGGCGAAGTAAGAGTCAAACACATTTCTTCCAAAAACACAAAAATATATAACAGCGGTGTAAAGACTCTTTATGTATAAACAAAATAAACAAAATAAATGGCGAAAAAGAGTCGTCGCATAATATATATAATTAAAGATAATTATCATCATAGATACATAAAATAAAATAAAAAGTACAACGGTGTATATTAAAATATAAAACAAACAAGTTTCGGCTGCTGGATTGAGCCCTCCTCAGATGTAAAAAGAATATAATATAAAAGATATAAAAGAATACAACAAAAAAATAATAAATCGATAACATTCAGTGACGCAACATTTTTAACGCGCGGAAATCAGCAAATGTGATGAATCTCGACGTAGCTTAATGTTGTATATGCGATGGGGCAATCAAACCGATGTTAAGAAACATAGTGCTGACTGAAAAACGGAAAAGGAAGGGAACTCATAAGAAAACAAGTAAACTAAAAAACTTAAAAACTAAACCCGCCGCAGATAAGAAGCCAAGTGCTCACTCACCAACGCATCCGAACAGGAAATGAGAATCACCGCAATGCATGACAAGTGTGAAAACCCATGACAATGATAGGGATGTAATCGTCGAAGTCAGACATGTCAACATCGCACATGACACCGACCGCTCGCTAAGACGGCACGCGACGCACTGAGAGAGGAGACGGGTCGACAGGATCGAAAGTCAGACTTTGTTTATTATCGGTAAATATGCCTTATTAAGACCCTCGGTGTCGGTCTGCAAATTGAGACTGTTCTTCTGTTTTTTAATATGTAGCATCTCCGAAATCAAGCGCTTTCTATACGAAGGTTCCTCGTCTAATATCAGAACATTGTCCCATTGAAAATCGTGATTGTGACTCAACCTATGATCGGTGATGACAGAGCGGGCAGATGTTTT